AACAGAAACAATTGAACTATCATTTAAAAGTCCATAACTATCCTTATAACGTTCCATTTTATCCTGAAAGACATGACACAAAATTTGGATCTCAAAATTATTGATAGTATGTAATGACAATGTAATATACTACATGGAATGAAACAGATATAATTGAACTATCATTTGAAGGTGAAAAACTATCCTTATTACATTCTATTATATCCTGAAAGCCATCACACAATATTTGGGATCTCAAAATAGTTGATATAATGTAATAACAGTGTAATATAATGAATAAAATGAGGCAGATATAATTGAACTACTATTTGAAAGTGTAAAACTATCATTATAACGTTCCATTTTATCCTGAAAGCCATTACACAATGTTTGGATCTCAAAATTGTTGATAGAATGTAATAACAATGTAATATAATTAATAGAATTGGACAGATATAATAGAACTACCATTTGAAAGTGTAAAACTATCCTTATTACATTCTATTATATTCTAAAAGCCATCACTCATAGTTAGGATCTTAAAATTGTTGATAGAATGTAATAACAATGTAATATCATAAATAAAGTGAAACAGATACAATTGAACTATCATTTGAAGTCTAAAAATATCCTTATAACCTTCTATCTCATCCTGAAAACCATCACACTATATTTGGTATCTCAAAATTGATGATAGGATGTAATAACAATGTACTATAACAAATAAAATGAAACAGAAACAATTGAACTATCATTTAAAAGTCCATAACTATCCTTATAACGTTCCATTTTATCCTGAAAGACATGACACAAAATTTGGATCTCAAAATTATTGATAGTATGTAATGACAATGTAATATACTACATGGAATGAAACAGATATAATTGAACTATCATTTGAAGGTGAAAAACTATCCTTATTACATTCTATTATATCCTGAAAGCCATCACACAATATTTGGGATCTCAAAATAGTTGATATAATGTAATAACAGTGTAATATAATGAATAAAATGAGGCAGATATAATTGAACTACTATTTGAAAGTGTAAAACTATCATTATAACGTTCCATTTTATCCTGAAAGCCATTACACAATGTTTGGATCTCAAAATTGTTGATAGAATGTAATAACAATGTAATATAATTAATAGAATTGGGCAGATATAATAGAACTACCATTTGAAAGTGTAAAACTATCCTTCTAGTGAATTTTAAATTAATTATTTTGCTAAAATTTTATAAGCAATGACACCTACTATAATTTTGTTCTTCCTTACATATCACATCTTTTGTACTAAATGGTTTTTCTTCCAATTAAAAATTATTAATGTAATATAATAAATAGATTGAAACAGATATAATCGAACAATCATTAGAAAGTCAAAAATTATCCTTCCAATGCATTATAAATTATTTTGCTAATATTTTATAATCAATAATATCTACTATAAATGATCCATGTTTAATTCTTCCTTACATATTACATCTTTTGTAATAAATGGTTTTTCTTCCAATCAAAAATTACTAAATAAATTTATGATTGACACTATCGTGCAAAATTATTATTTTTTACCTCGAGAAAAAGTTGCAAGAGCACTATACCACCACGTATGTATTACTATTGTTTTTACTTTTTGACCTGTAAAAATTGGGAAGAGCTATTGTGCTATCGTAATCGAGATGAGTTTCGAAAAAATCTTTTTTAATGGAGAAATAGATTTCAAAAGCCCTAATTGCGTCCTAATTACTTGGAGATTTGTATTGCATATCTGTATATATATGCGTTCCTCGTTTCCGAGCTATATAATGTGTTCCTATTGTTAGATTTCGAACATCCAAAATTGAAAAAATAATCGTCTCTAAAAATAGAAAAGATCTTCATAAAATCTAAACAATTGCAATAATAATTAAATAGGACCTTCCAAAAACAATAAGGATAGTGTTCATGAATTTTAAAAATAGTTTTACGACCAAACTTTCAATGGATATTTCGCGAGTACAATTTTTACGACTCCTTTCAAGTAATCCCCGCGAGAGAAAAACAATTCGAAGAAAATCGTGATAGATCTCCGCGGGGATAATATTCTGGACGAGGTCCAAGCATCCATTCCGCGTCGCGATCGAATTCCAAACGGGATCTCGTTTGGCGGGTCGAAACAAAAACAAGAAAACAATTTCTTCCGCGGGGGAAACGTCGATAGTCCTGGAAAATCGGCACGCTAACACGATTGCGGGGGCGGTTGGCGACCGAAACGACGTTCCAGCGTGACGTTATCTCGAAACGAGTCGCCTGTGGACTGGACTTCCCCCTTACCGTGGGAAAACGTGAAATCTATCGTTCGCGGCGACGTCACTGCAAAATATGGATATCGATTGCCAATTAAACAACGACAAAAGTGGAACACGAAGACCAGCGGAATTTTTATTATTAAAAACAGCCTGGACAATTCATAGAAATCAGTAAAATTACAAAATTTATTCTTCTAGGGGTTTTGTAAATGCTTATAAATAAATAAAAAATTGCTGAAAAGTATCGTTTTAACACTGGAACTACTGACAATTATAATATATTTATTTGTATCTAAAAAATTCAATAGATACTTGAAGAAATGCATAATAAAATGGGAATAAATGTTCACTAATTCTCAGATAGAAAACTACGGTCAATTTTTAGAATTCCAATGGAGTAAATGTTTCACAATTTTTATTAGAAGTTACCAATGGGTCATTTTGGTCATAATAATGACCAAAATTCAATGAAATTCCAAAAACAAGTTGTGGTTCTATAAATACTTATAAATAAATAAAAGAAGGAAAGTTACTGTTTAATAATTCTGAACGTCGAATGAGTGTTCCTCCCACGCTCACTTGAAATCAAACCCAAAGTTGGAACTTCGATTAATCAACGAGAGATCGTTGACTTCGTCATAAAACTTTTTCTATTTCCTTCCATCGTCTACGAAATGTCTTTGAACTCTGAATAACAGTTCTAGACGAAAATTTCAAGATCACAGAGAGAAGCTCCGAGCTAATAAGCATCGTATAGAAAACATGGGAGGGGAAAAAGATCGAATGGTAGATTGTAACTTCTCGATGACGACGTAGCAACTTCGAAATTGCTAAAGTTCTCGATGTCTCTGATAAGAAGACGCAGAAACGTCGCCTCGAAAATGGCGCGGACGGGGCTCAAGAAAAGTAAAATAAATGCAACGAAACGTGAGGGTGGCACGTGCACGTGCTCGAAAAGCGTCCAGTAAACGCCGACAAAGGCTGCCCCGGGAATCGTATTGCTTTCTGGGTTAAGTACACCTGCCAGGAACGAGGAAGGGTTGGAACAAAGGTAGCTTCAAAAGGGACAACCGCGATTGGACACAGATAACGAAGCTACCAACTCGAAACACACGCAGAGAAAGACAAAACGTGGGGAGATGTTAACAATTTTACAGGCTAGATTCTCGAATCGATCGAAACACCGAATGTTGAGATCGATGTCGAGCCTGGAGAGCGGAGAACTCGATTAAAAAACATTCGGGGCTTCCTGGAATTGCACTCGAACTCTCGAAAAGTGCACGGTGCATCCACTCGAAACGACGACTCTCCGGGCATTTAATCGATGAATCTTTGCCCCAAGAACCATGCAATTAACACAATTTCTGTGGAAATTCAGGCTCGAGTGGACGGCGGGACGCGATATTCGAGGAACGCTGACCTATTTGTCTACGCGACGTTTGCTACGGTTTGGGCAAGGAATTCGACTGGATGTTTGCACGAGCAAAACTTACGAGTCTGTGTCTTCGAAGGTGTTCATATCGAATAAGAAAAAAACACACTGCACTGGACCGATCACACTCTCGTCGTTGTTTTTGGTGTCCAAACTTGCACCAAGCGTTTGAACTAGTGTAGTTTGTCGCGAGAATAACAGAAGACTGAGGCACGTCGCGAGTGGTAAACAGAAGAGGTCGCGTGGAACGAAATCGTAGGAAGGGGATCCCAGGTATCAGGCTCTAAATGAGACCTTTTCCTTGTAGTAGAGAAAGAGAAACTATTATAAGAGTCGAAATACTATATATGATTTCAAAATTTCGATATAGTCAAAAGGATCTCTGTTATAGCAATGAATTTAAGTCCAGAAACATTGATGTGATTCGCTTATATCGAAACAAGCACGATGTGATTCGCTTATATCGAAGCAAACATTGATGTGACTCGCATATATCGAAGCAAATATAGATACGATTTGCTTATATGGAAACAAGTATCAGAGTCAATAGTATTTGCAAATTAAACACCCTAGCAAAGATTGTAATTATTCCCCGAAGCATCGAAGATTCGTGTGTCGAGGGGGGCGTACGGCGACGCGTGCGTCAGAATTCCAGGGAGACGCGTGGCGTCGGTCCGTGTACCTGTCAGAGCGACGCGCAAGGGTTATTCTCCGTGCGAGGACGGACCGTGTGGCGCACGGTGGGTGGCGCACGGCGCCCCCCCCCCTCCCCCGCGCGAACGTCGAGCTAAAATTAGACGGGAACAGAAGGGGTTTATTCAAATTACTCCGCAGCGCGCGGACTCCTGGATTTTAAGCGACGACCGTCGGCTTCTCGCCTTCGAGAACGAACCTCGGATAACGGCGACGTTTCACGGAGCGACGCCACGGAATTAAACGAGGCCCGCGTGCAGGCTTAATGAAGCGTTCTCCAAACCGGAGGGACCCGTCCAAACGGAAACGATTCCTCCCTCGACCTTTGACATTTCTTCGTTATTTTTAACACCAGGCTCGCGTCAATTTCAACTCCTTCAGACTCCAAACGTTAGAGAACTCTTACATATTACATTTTCGCAATTAACGAAGCTACTTGTCATCGAGGTTTTTACATTAAAATGAGCACATTTTTGTATTTAGCAATAAAAATATGGGCAAAGAGATTCTTTGGGGAGTTGTTTCAAGGAATAATATGGGGGCAATTGAAGCTTTTATTATTGAACTACCCTTAAATCTTGCTAGGATTTTTTTGATATCTCACCGTGGTCTTCTCCAAACAACGAAGCAGATGATGATGCTGCAATTCGAAAATGTCTTCCTCCTTGTAGCTGTCGTCCAGCTGGAGGCCGCTCTCCTGCGCAGCCAGTCGAGCCTCAGCTGCCTTCTTTTTGCTGACGAAAGCTGCTCCGCTCGACGCTTTCGCGATCCTGATACGCGCTAATCTAGCTTTCTGCAACGAACAATTAAACACACGATTATTACAAATTCACCGATCGCTCATCGTCGATAATTTTGCATTATTAATCCCTCGCTTATCGGAGAACAAAAACATTCCAATATCAGAACAGTTGAAAAAGACACCGAAACAATGGCGTAGACAACGCATCTTTTCGAGAATTCGCTGAAAAAGTCATTAGGACTAACAACCACGCATTGTATCCCCTTTTTTTTTTACTTTTTCTCCCTCAGAAAGCCTCCCCCGGTCGGTCAATTACGCTTTTAGCGGCGATTTTCCGCGCCCGGAATTACCGTGCGCCATTCGAACGCTTTTTCCAAAGCGATTTGCACCCCCCCAACTACTCAATTTTCGCGTCCCTTCTCGCTTCTACGCTTCGACGTCGAAACGCACTTTTCGTCCAATTATTAAAAGTTACAGTCGTGATCGATGATAGTTCGATGGAAAAATTGAATAAATAATTATGCTGAGGAAGTATAGTCATAAATTAAGACGATTGACGTGGTGGTCACCGGTGACCGTCACTTACAGTGAACAAACCTTCATATTAATTTATTTTTTTATCATTTCGTTGTCATTAGGAATGCTTCAAGATAACAAATAACCCATTGAAACACTATTTAGTACAATAAATAAAAGAACTGCTATGGTGGTCACCGGTGACCGTCACTTAGGATAAACGAACCTTCGTATTTATATACTTTTTAACAATTTCGTTGCCATTAGGAGTGCCACAAGATAACAAATACCCCATTAAAACGCTATTTAGTAAAATAACTAAGAAAAGTGCTATGGTGGTCACCGGTGACCGTCACTTGCGATAAACGAACCTTCGTATTTATATACTTTTTAACAATTTTATTGCCATTAGGAGTGCCCCATTGAACTATTGAACATTGCAGGAGGGTACATATTATAAATTCTCGTCGTACAATTTTTATTTTCCACTTCTTCTCGGTACGAAAGCTCGCATAAATGAATAACAATAAGTAGTGCACGTTCGAGGCTGGACGCATGCGGCGTACAGCTGTCCAAGAATCCCAGTTTATGGTCCCTCGGACAAAGATCCGTGTTTCGCGGACCGATGCGTCTCAACAACGTCTGTTTACCGCGATCGTTCCGCGTACAACAGAGTCTCCGCGTCTGTTTTTCGCGTCAAACGTCGGTACTCTAATAATTATAGCGTAACACTGGGGCGGCGTTGTCCTCGCGTTACACCATTATTTGCAACGGCAAAAATAGGTTAAACAAAATCGAGTTATTCGCGTCGTCGAGTCCCCCCCTAAGAAGCGAACCCGGACGATCGTTGCAACGGTGGAACAACTTTGAAAGAAACCGGGATAAATTCCGCGACCCCGGAAATCTCGATCCACAATGCACCGTAATAAGATGATAATTCACAAGCCGGGGGAATGAAATTCCGCGTCAGGACGGGGCAAACTTTTCTCTTTTCGCGTCTGCATCGAGGAGCATTGTTCCCCCGGCTCGAGGGAGCCGCGTAATCGCGAAATAACGGAAGATAAAACTCGTTAAGATTATTTTACTTCGGAAAGATGGCGCCGCAATCTCTCCCTCGCGTTTCGTTGCACTCAAAATCATTTATAAATGAAAATATAGCAGTGGATCTACTACTAGCAGTTAGAGAGGGCCCTGGTGTATTTAAACTCATTTAAAAAAGGTGTAAATTTGTTGTTTGGCTCAAAAAGCCACGTTTGATGAGGTAGGAGGTGGGAAAAGATTTTGAAAATATACGAGGCAAAAAAAAAAATTAATTTGCAATTTTTGAATGATTCTGGAGCTTGTGAAATGAACAAACATTGAATATTGGGATCCAGGTTAACAAAGAGACGACGATGGACAGTTTTCTATTCCTCCCTCTATAAGAGTCGCGATCCAGCGAACGTTAGAGAGGGCTCTTGTGTACTTAAACTCGTTTAATAAATAAATAGACATTTAAAAATCATAAATTAATGTTTTTCTCCATCAAATTCTTCTTCGAAACCTTTATTTTCTCCACGAACGATGCAACCACGTTGCAACAACGCGCCAGAATCGATCGCTACGCACCCCGGTGGCGTTTGTAGGCAATGTTGCAACAACTTGGGAGAAAAGTGTGCCAAAGTGTTCCTAGCTTTCGTTATTTATTTACTCGTTACGTGGACGAGGACACTTCGAGGGATTTTATTTTGAAAACACCCGAGAGATAATGAATCGATCGTACGTGGGGGGCAGGTGTGTTTAAATTCCAAGTGTCTTTTTGCAAACCGGAGGAAAATCTGATCGTCGGCGGTGGCATTATCCGAGACGAACCGCCTGGAAATTGCACCGTCGGTCTTGCATAAGCGTGATTAATCGATAGCGCGGGTATTAAAATGCCTGCGCGACGGTTCCATTATTTCGAAGGGAATTGTGCCCAAGTAATGTCCAGGAATAACTAATGCCTTGTTTAGGAACAGCGAAAGTAACGGATTCTTGCTGCACACGCGAGTTCAAGAACGCGATCTTTCATTGCAACGATATTGTCAACGGCCACGAAACAGTCTCCAGCAGTTATTAATAAAAATAAAACGATGGTGTCTATTTTATTTTGAAGTTAAAGAATGCTCGGTGAAGTTTCTATGAAAAATTTCGAAATTGTTCGACGATAGAATTGAAAATGAACGTATTGGTTTCCCCCTTTATCGTTTCGTAATTCTGGAATCGGTTAAGGGAATTTTGCAAAAGAATTCCGACGAGATCCACGAATCACGATAAGGGGAGGTCGATTTAGGCCCCGGATCGATCAGGATGCAAATTACCGGCCAGATTTCCGGATAAACTTTTATTACCCGATGTTTATCGTCCCGGGGAGTTAATCGACGTTAAGCTCGCGCCATATCCCACCGTGACAATCTAAATACGAGTGGGAAATATCGCGCGATGGACATTTCCGTGGCGTCGATAAACTCCATTCTTGCTGTTGTTGTGAAAGAAACAGGTTTACGGCAGATTTTTCCGTGATTTCGCGCACTTTGTTGCTCCTGGGCGACGAAATCTATGGCGCAGAGGGGCTCGCGAGCGCGATAAAAGTTACAACCAGCCCCACCGGTGAATTACACCGACGCAAAATAGGGGTTGTCGCGCGAAAAAGTTGCTGACCCGCTGTGCAAAGTGTTACGGTACACAGAAATCTGACGGGAGTCCTCGTTCACGCAAAGGAGGCATAGAAAATTGTCGATAGTTGTTTCTGTTAAGTTAAATAGCAATATTCGATGTTTATTCGTTCCACAAGTTGCTACAGAGTAACAAATACCCAATTAAACCAGTATTTAATAAAATAAATAACAAAATTGACATGGTGGTCACCGGTGACCGTCACTTACAGTGAATAAACCCCGATATTTATACAATTTTTAACAATTTCGTTGCCATTAGGAGTGCTACAAAGTAACAAATATCCCATTGAAACACTATTTAATAAAATAAATGACAAAACTGGCATGGTGGTCACCGGTAACCGTCACTCACAATAAATAAACCTTCATATTTATAAAATTTTTAATAATTTGGACCTATTGTTCAGCATGGAAAGCTACGATTAATGGGGTCGATGATTGCAAAAGTCGTTGTACAATTTTCTGTGCCTCCCTTGTTAAGAGTCGTGAGCCAGCGACCGTTAAAGAGGGCCCTTGTGTATTTTATCTCCTTCAAGCGGAGTTTCATCCTATTGTTTATGCCATTTTTAACCTATTGGGGAACGTGAAATAGTAATACGGGTTCTTTCGATGGATTTAATTGTCGCTTTCCATTGTACGATTATATTTGCGAAACAGTGGCTCTCTTTGTTATGGTAATTCGTATTATACGAGGATGGACGGTCCCCGGGCAGCTCGTCGATGGTTAATTAATTCGATACGAGACAACAGGTAGCCCACGTCCGGGTAAGCTGGATAAAAACTGCTATTCGTAACCATATTAATTACCGTCGACGTCGATTAATTCGCTGCGCGGATCGGATCTTGCGTCCACCCACATTGTCGCAAAATAATTCGCGAGTATCTGAAAATGACGGTACGGAACACATCAAACACGGTTTTTTCGTCGTACAATTTATCTTCGTTGGATTATAGAATCCGGATTACAGTTATCCGGGACCCTGAATATTTCACGCGAATATAAATATTGTACACTTCAGCTATCCGGGACACCGAATATTTCAGGGGAAAATAAATTATTGAAGGACATTTCAGTTATCCGGGACCCTTCTCGTCGAGCCACGAAAACGTTTGATCCCAAAAAAGTGACCTATTAATATAAGTTTGGAACTTCAGCAGTTGTGATAATACTGTATTCGTAACATTTCCTGTGCTTTCAATTAAACTCGACCTCACTGCCTCCTCCATTCGTCGAGATCCATTGACAGGACTTGTGAATCCGCCAAAAAGATCCGATGTTTTCCTTTCAGTCCACAATACCGACATGTTTTTTACTCGTAACCCATTTTTAACGTTCATTTGACGTCCTCATTTCCGGGTATACTTCCATTATACCGTAATAGGATTCCCCGAACAAAAGCCAAGTAAACTTTCTTCGCCGCAACCTTTCCATCCCTTTGATCCTCGAATCTTCTTCCAGATAAAAATTCAAATATACAAGGGCAACAATTTCGTTCTCGCGTTTTATCTGACCCCAGGTTTCGCGGAATATGACCCGTTTCCTCTGGATATTTCCAGAAGTGCTCTCGATGGACTTCGATCCCTCGAGTTCGATTCGAAACTCAAACATTTACGTTCCGTCGATTTTCCCAGTGTTCCCTAAGTTTATCAGCCGGCCAAACACTGACCATCGATGCGTAAATTACGCGAAATTACAGCAGGATCCGTCCCGTGGAACGATTCACGGATCAACTCGCGCTCTAATTATAACCACAACGCTACGCCCGCGCTCGTCGAAGATTCTCCCCGGTGTTTACCATATTTATATCCGACGAACGGTATATTTTGGCGGATCTGCAT